ATCGGAGTCGAAACGTTTGTATCTAGAGATTTTAATTTGATTTAATTAAATACGTTTTGTTTAAAGATTGGTTCTATGCCCTTTTTAATTGTCATATTGCTTAATATAATACTTTCTCTCAGATATGGAAGAAGAAAACGTAAATTCTCCTGCAGAGCATCGTGTATCTTCGCTAGGTGAGTTCTTCTCTTAAAGGAAAGATAAAAATTTTAATTGAAGCAAAAATAATATTTTTATTTTTAGATCGTATATGTGAGAAACATAATCAATACTAGAAATTTAAATGCCTATTACGGTCGAAGCTGGATCTTCGTTGCTTTAAAATAATTCAATCTTGAATTACGAATATATACTGTATATGTACTTGCATATATACCGTATTGTAGTCTTTTTCAAACTGCGCGCCGAATTGTTTTTCCGGACTAAATAAACGCAATTAAAACTACTCTAGTAATCGCGAATTAAATTGACAAGCAATTTAATAATTTTGATGCTACCATCAAGCATCATATATTATAAAGATGTTAATATATTAAAGCCTGCCGCACACGATACGTTTTTTCTTACTGGATTTCTAACTGGATTTGCTTGCTTGCTACCGTACGGGCGGCGGTACTGGCAGTGCTACTGGCCCATACTGGCCGTGGCTTCACACGGGGCGAGTTTTCGTACGGGCTGAACAACTGGAATTTGTTTGATAGAAGTGGCACGCTTAAATGTGAATGAGATAGATGAGATGGATGAAATTATTGCAACAGTGGTACATCGTCGGAAAATTGCTATTGCATTATTTTTAATTATTGAAAAATTGCGACGACAACGAAATAAATATCGCCGACGTTTATGGAGTCGACAGTGGCTGCAATGACGAGAGACCCACAATAGTGTTCTTACAATGTTATTTGAAGAATTCGGGTGAGTATAAAGTTTTGAATTTTTTGTAACATTTCTTTTATCATCTTATATGTTATATTTTTATTCCTTGCTTACAGACCTGAAGATCCGAGATCTTTTCAAAATTTCACTAGAATGCAAGAAGAGGTTATGGAGGAACTGTTAAATCTTCTTATTCCATATATTGAAAAGAAAGACACAGTAATGAGAAAAGCAATTTCTCCTCGGATGAGACTGAGTGTTACGCTTCGATATTTGGCAACTGGCAATTCATTTCAAGATCTTGCGTACTCTACAAGAATTGCTCCAAATACTCTGTCGAAAATTATATTAGAAACATTACAAACTATTATTACAGTGTTAAATAAAAATGTGATACCATTTCCATCTAAACCTGAAGAGTGGGAAATTGTAGCTCATAAATTTGGAACTATGTGGCAATTTCCTCAATGCATAGATGCTATAGACGGGAAACATATTTTATTTTGTCCTCCACGTTCTGAAGGATCTAAATATCGCAACTATAAGGGAAAAGACAGCATTATTCTTTTCGCATTAGTAGACGTAGAATATAAATTTATTTTTGTAGACGTTGGTAAAAATGGTCGCACACATGACTCTGCTGTATTTCGTGAAAGTCTGTTAGGTATAAAACTAAAGGAAAACACTCTTAATTTGCCACAACCAAAGACTCTACTGAATTTTAATTTTCAAATGCCATATGTAATTGTAGGAGATGATGCTTTTTCTTTGCATACAAATTTAATGAAACCATATCCTGACCGTGGCTTGACAGAAAACAGACGAATATTCAATTACAGATTAAGTAGAGCACGAAGAACTGTTGAAAATGCATTCGGCATTCTGGCGAATAGATTCAGAGTTCTTCTAAATCACATACCACTCTCTGTAGAAAAAGTAGAAATCATAACATATGCATGTGTGCTTCTTCATAATTTTCTGTTGAGTAAAAATGTGCAACGTTATATTCCCTCTGAATATAGATCAGAAAATTTAGAAATACCTGAATCATGATTATGTAGTGTGAATCAACAAGGGGGAAATCGTTCATCTGTTGCAGCTGGTGAAATAAGAGACATGTTTACTGAATATTTTAATACAACTGGTGCTGTTTCATGGCAGTATTTTGCTGTAGAAAGAGGAAATTAATTATTTTCAAATAACAAATCTGTAATTGTGTCGAAAATTGTAAAAATACTAACTTAAGACTACATGAAACGATATTTAAAAAATAAAAAAGAAATAAAATAGATTTTTAGCCCTTACAATTAATCCCACTCCGAGTATGACATTCGGGCAGTTTTTAACAAAAAACTACCCGGGAATGTTTTTGGTTTTTTCAGAAATTGTTTACCTTATTATTTATAACTTTTTTTGATTAATAAGGATATATACATTTGTTCAGGCCATTATATCTTTATCTGATATTTATTCGAATAAAAAAATACATATATAATACACACATCTTTTACAATAACACAATGCGTTTGAAAAACAATTTTTTAAGGGATAATATTATAAAAAAAGAATTAGTTATCTCTTTTCTCCCTGTAGATCTTCAGTGCTAGCATTTATAACCCTTTCAACCAATGTATTCATTACTTGAAACCGTAAACTTTCATTTTTAAAACGTTTTAATAGTGATCCTATAAATGCCATACATGTATCCACAGGATCTAACACGTTATATGCAGAATTATTTGTTGACATATCTGTTCGTTGTACAGTTATGGGTTAAAAGGCTGCATTTTGCAGCCTTTTCATTTCTGCACGACGTCATATTTGCGAAATGAATCCACTTTTGAATTTGATGTAAAGACGACACTTGGATCTGCTTCGATCGTATAACCTGGTATAACCCAGTATAACCTATACAGATTGCGTCCTGACTGGCTCTCACAAAATCCAGTACAAAATCACGCAAGAAAAATAGAACCGGTTCTATTACGAAAATCCAGTACGCGAGCCAGTAGCGTAGCCCGTAAGCTACCCATTTCCCGTACGGGAGCACGTAAGACTGCCAGTATAGGAGCACGTAAGCAATCCAGTAAGAAGAAACGTATCGTGTGCGGCAGGTTTAAAACTGTTAATAAATTTATTGCGAAAAATATTACCTCGGTTGGGACTTGAACCCGGATCTCTTGCATACCGTGCAAGCGTCCTAAGCCTTTAGATCATCGAGGCCTTAGTAATATTCTTCGCAATAATCGGTACACTAATTGAGGAGGAGGAGGAGGAGGAGGAAGAAACTCAGAGGTTGGAAGAAGAGATGGGAAGAGGAGAAGAAGAAGAAGAAGAAGGAGAACACGAGAGAGAAGAAGAAAATCAAGAGGATGGGAGAAATAATAGCTTAACTCCTCCTGCAGGTATATAATTCTTCTCTTTTTGTTAATTTTTTTAGTTTGATGCTCGTATTTAATTCAAGATTAACGAATTTCTTTATTAGGTACTCTTCGCTCTCCTATCCTGCGAGTAAGAGGAAGGTTGTCTTTACGGCACCCTGTTTGAGTATTCCAATAAGAATATAACTTTCAAACAACGTGGCTTCCAATTTTAATAAGATGTTTAGAGTACAATTGCAATACTAACACACTTAATACTATTTATAAACGTTTCGGCCTTTAATTAGGCCATCTTCAGTATAAATTAATATTGTTCGAGTATAAAATTATGCGCTAATACAATTATCAGTCATTATAAAAAATATATTTAAATAACACATAGGAAAAAATTTAATTTGTCAATTTTAAGTATAATATTTTATCCTTAGCTTAATATAAATATTTAAATATTAATAAGTCAATTAGAATTACATTTTTAAATTACTACATTATAAAAAAGTGGTCAACATTTTAGTAGATAACATTTTAAATTAGAAGGTTTCGTCATTATAAAATTAATTTTTAACATTGTGTTTTTAATTTTGAAGGTTACTTAAATTATTTTTGCCGTTATTCAAAAATTCCAGACCAATTTCCAAATTAATATCGTTGAATTGTTTTTATTGATTAGTTGATAGTCTTAAATTTTTTAACTTGGAAAATTGTAAGTTAAAGTTCCCAAACTGGAACGAAAAATTGTATAAGAAAATTTTTTTAAAAAATTGTATATACAAAAAATTTTTTTAATTTATAATTCTTTAATAAAAACTATTTTTGTCAATTACCTTAAACTTAAGATTCTTTTTATTCCGATGTCAGCTATGGAGGAATTTCTTTATTAAAATTAAAATTTTTATGAATTTGTAGTAACTTTCTAATACAAAAATTTTTTAAATAATGCTTGAATATTCAAAATAAATTCTATATATAGTTTGCTTGAAATCTTCCACAAGGTTTTGAGGCTGTAGGAAGGGGAATTGTTGGAAGGGAAATGGTAAAAGAAGTGGTGGTAAGGAGAATATTGCCATCTGTTGACTGAATTTCAAAAGATCTTTATTTTTAATATTAATTCTGAATCATATGTAGATAAGCATCTGGTATTTTTAATATTAATTCTGAATCATAGGTAGATAAGCATCTGGTAATTTATCTGTGTCTTTTTGTTCGTTTAGTCCACTCTTTTGTTTTTTAATATGTATCATTTCGGATACTGAACGTTTATAGAAAGAGGGTTCCAGATCTAAAATTTCAACATTCTTCCAATCCATGTCATGATTATGTTCAATGCGATGTTGAGAGACTACAGAGGGGTTATTTAATTTGCTAATATCTGCTCTATGTTCATTGATTCTCGTTTTTAACTTCCTTTTTGTTTGCCCTACATAAGAATTTTCGCAATTTAAACATTTAATTTTATATACTAAATGATTATTTTCATTT